CCCCCCCCCTGGCTCAGTCCCGCCCACCCCAGGCTCAGCTCCGCCCCTCCCTCCCGGGCCCCGCCCCTTTCTGGCCCGGTCCTGCCCCTTCCCACCCTGGCAGACCCACACCATCTGCGACCCCGCCCAGGCTGGATTCGCGGAGGGTAGCCTGGCTCACCCGCCAAGTCATGAGCGAGGTCTTTGATGAGGTGGCCCACGATGGCGTAGGCCACGGCTACCACTAGGACGGCGGCCATCAGCAGGTACAGGGCGTAGCGAGGCAGGCGGATGGCGTCCAGCGGAGGCGGCCGGTACTCTTCGTACATGGCCGGGGCCGGGCTCCAGGCCCGTGCCTCGCTCGCCGACCCCGCCATGGCTGGCAACACCCTCCACCGGAGCCCGACGCAGGCGATTAGGGGATGAGCTGCAAGGATTAGGACGGCTGCTATATCTGTGGGTGCCCTCCCTCGATGGCTGTCATGACTGTGACGCCGATCCGCCCACGCGAGAACAGTGCAAAAGCCCGGGGCAGCCGTGGGGCAGAGGGACAGGGTCTCCGGGGGACCCTGGGTGGCAGCGGGCAGTGTACTCTCATGCGCGCCCTCTGGTGGCCACGGTAGGGAGGACAGATGTAGGGTGGGAGCCTAGGGGGTCAGCATGTGACAGAGACCTGGGTTCAGATCCGAGTTCTGAAGAGTCGCTGCACACGCTGTGGCTGTCCCAGGCTCTGATAGCAGGCATTTCCCTGGGACGAGGGGTTAATGTTACCCCATGTGTCACCCTCCAGCTTCAAGGGGTGAGTCATCCTATAAAATCCCACAAACTGGCTGTGAGGGACACAAGATGCAGGGTTTTGTGGTATGTAGATGAGCTTCATGCCTCTCCACCCCCAGCGGAAGACTGGAGGGACCTGTGAGGAGCGCAGCCAGGGGTTTGAGGGGTGAGGAGGGGCCATGTGAGGGTGGTGCCCCCAGGAGGAGGGACATCTTGTAGACTTGGTCTCGAGGAGGCCGCCCGTGGGCAGGATGGCTTGAGGAGTCCAGGCTGAGTGACCAATGAGGTGGAGAACTAGCTGGCAGCCTCTGTGATGTGAGGACTGGAGTCAGGGCCACAATCTGTGATCCTGGCATCCAGGAGACTGAGGCAGGAGGATTGCCATGAATTCCAGCTCATTGCCTCATTGCACTCCGACTCAAAAAAAAAAAAAGTTGCGGGCTGGAGAGATGGATCAGCGGTTAAGAGCATTGCCTGCTCTTCCAAAGGTCCTGAGTTCAATTCCCAGCAACCACATGGTGGCTCACAACCAT